TTTTAACTGCTCTCCTGTATTAGATGCTCTTGAGATCAAGCAAATGAAAGGGGGCATCTTATTCTCAAAAGTGACTTTCCTGCCTTTTTAGCTGTGACAGCTTGTAGGTGACGGGGCTTATATCTGCCTTGCATCATCCTGTAGAGTAAAGCCTGTCTGTGCCCTGCCGTGCCAGGGAACCCACAGACTCATACACACACACGTGCAGCAGTCCGGCAGGAGGAGGCCGGTGGTGCCAAGTCGTTCAACCAGCAGTGGTCTTCGGGCACGTAGCTGTCGGTCTCCTGTCTGGAGAACAGGGGGGCTGACTGGTGTAGAGGAGGGTCCCCACAGTGGGGGCTGGGAGGCGAGGTGGGAAGGGCTTGCCCGAATGCCTTGCCCTGGCCGTGTGGCCTATGTCCCTTTATTTGGAAAAGATGAGTCATGTGAAATGATAGCTCTGCCTCGTTCCCAGCTTGATACTCGCTTCCTGACTTGGACTTACTTTCCCTGCTATCTTTCCTCTGACAAGGACCAACCACAGCGAAGGTGTGGGCAGGCAGACCTGGGGTGTGATCACAAAGCTCTGCCCAGAATCTGCTAGTTTTCGTTGCGCTCGTCTCCCCAGTGGGGAGTGCTTGAGGTGGTGAGGAGGAGGGATGTCCACTTAGCAAAACGAAGGTGTGATCTGAGCAGACCGACGTTACATGTCATGTGCTCCAGCAGCGCGCAGCAGGAGAGGCCAGATGCTGCAGGCTGGTGGATGTGAGCTCTGGTTGCAAGGCTACGGCCTGGGATTGAGTTACTTTTTGTGCTGCTCACTCTGTTGCGTCACTACAGACCTTCTAGCGCACGCTACTCTCCTGGTCTTTCTCTGGCAGATAGACCACCAGCTTCTGAACCCTGCAGCCACAGCGCCAGTTCTGCCTGCCACAGGCCTGCAGGTAAACGAAGTACAATCAAGACCCAGGCCTGCCCAGCCAAAGTAAGCGATGCTTTGCTCATCGCCACTTCTCAGGAGGAAAGCTTTACCAAACGACATTGACCAAAGACAAGAAGATCTTCCAGATCAAGTATGGCGACGTAGGGGTAGAAGGGACCCCCTTGGCACGTCCTTCCAGCTGCAGGCAAGCTGGGTCCAGCTGTTTGACTTGAGCTTTGTCACAGGACAGCCTGTGTTGATCTGATCATGGGATCTCTTGCCTATCTTTTTCAAACACTGGGTTATCCTGTAGGGTTTACGCTCGATGTGCTGGGTCTGTGCAGGTAGCCTGTGGCTACCTTCTGCCGTCTTCTGAGATAAGCACTCCTTTTTGGCAGTGCTGCAGACCAGTTCTTATCCAGCCTGCAGTGCTGGTCAGTCAGTATTTTAGGTGGGTCTGGATGGGACAGGCTTTTCCCTGCTCTGCCTGGTCCTTTGTGTTTCCCTTCAGCATCAAGTTAGAAGGGGATTGTTGGTCATTCCCGGTGAACTGGGTTAACTCTGTGTCACACGGCCCTTATTAGCTGCTCTTCAGCTTTTCACTTCCTCTCTCCTTCTGTAATCCAGTTGTCATACAGGAACCTGTTCTGCCGGGTAACTGGTGACAGCTAATGGCAACCCCAGCCACAGCCGCGTTGTAGCACAGCCTTTCCCAGTGGGAAGATGGGGCAAAAATCGATTCTCGGAGCCTCCTTCCATTCTTGCTGTGACCCAGTTAGATGACACATCTTTGTTTCCCCCTCAGGCTTCCCTGCCTGTCCGTGAACTGCTCTGGCCGGTCCCTGTTCATTCTCCAGAAACTTTTCCTGAACTCCCCAGAGAAACTCAGTGCAGGGGCACGTGCAGACCGGCCGCGCTTGTACTCCGACCCCCACACGCTGCCCTTCCGCTCCTCTGCTGCGCTTGGCAGGAGCATCACAAAAGGGGACACCGTCCTCTCACCCCACCTTTTGTAAATGATGACCCCATGTGTTTGAGGTCCCATTACTCGAGCTCCAGTGGCCGACAGGCTTCAGACGCTACCCCTGCCCCGCTCGCTGCCAGCCCCTCTGCGCCCGAGCAGCCACAGCAGCTAAAAACGCATCTTGCTGCTGCAGCGCTTGGGTCCACATGCCCATTGCTGCGCTTGCAGAACTTTTAAATTGCATTAACAGCAACAGCCTGGGGTTTATCATGCCTTTAGCTACGAGGGTCAGGCAGATCTAAGAGGCGTAGTCCACTTTCAGACCTGAGCCAGATTTGTTTGGTTTTTTCTATCCGTCTTAAATTTTAGCTGACTGTCTAGATTTGGCTTGGGCCTTCTCCACCTATCCTGTTGCTCATCTTACTCCCAGCCCATAACAGCCTTTCCAGACCCTGTGTTTTTCTCGCTCCTGCACATGATTGAGCAACTGAAAAGCTTGGGGCCGCATACCAGCCTGCCACCTCAACAGCTTCTGCTGGCTGGACGTAGATTGCCAGTCCGGCAACCACGCAGCCGGGTCCTGGTGACACACCCCAAATAATTTGTCTCAAAGAGTGAACCTCCCTCATTCTTCCCATGGTTTCTGCTGGCACCACCTCCATCCCTCTGGTGCAGCTCTTCCTCACCCGCACCGCCCACTGTCAGAGTCACCTTTGGCTGCAACTCTCTTTCCGCCGGTGAGAGCGCCTGCGGTGTGCCTCCGAGGTTGCCCTGCCTAAGCCTTCCTTACCAAACACCTTCGCCTCCTGCACAAGTATTGCAGGCTCCTGTCAGGGCAGTTCTCCCATACCTGTGTCAAACTGCATCACAGCAGAGTAAGTGCGTGAAACAGGTGGGGACAGGGGCTAGAGACTGGTACCGGAGAGACCCACCTCATACCGCAGCCATCGACATGTCCTCAGGGCCACCGATGTATCGCTGTACAGTTTTTCTGCCTGGGACACCTGTGCCGTCAGCTCTCGGGAGGACCGAGCAACCACGGCTCCCATCAGCCACAGTGGTGCTCTGTTTGACATCTCCCTATCATTTTAAAACTTACCCCATCTCAGACCTGCCCTGTCGGTAAGCCTGCTGCGGGGTTCTTGCCCACAAGTCTATATTTTATGCAAAACCCATTCCAGCTTCTTGGGATTCCGCAGCAGGACAACCGATGTTTGCTTTCAAGCTGTCTGACCTAGAACACAATGGCAACAACTCCTCGCTTGGTGGTCTGGGAAGGACAGAGCTTTTTTGAAGTAAGGCTTACTGTAAGCTGTGTGAAATGCTATGCTTTTCTGCAGATGTTACCTGTGTCAGTATTTCCCCTGGTTATGATGTATCCGAATTTTTTTAAGAAGACGTTAGAAAAATCTTTCCAAAAACTGCAGGCAGCCGCAGAACTGCAGAGAGATCGGGATGGCAGTAGCCACAGTTACCTAAGCCATCCATCACCTTATTTACCACTTCCTGAGGGAGAAACTTTTTCAGCAATTGTCATGTGCTCACTCTTACCAAACCTGGAGTTACCATTACCACAATGTCCGTGGCTACCGCAGGGGTTAAAACCAAATCTCCTTTGAATCTACACTTTTCATCCGTGGCCCACACAACAGATGACACGGCGATGCATCTAACTTGGGAGGCTGACCTCTCTCTCTCTGCGGATACCATCTTGCCTGTTGCGTGCTTCATGGCAATGTCACTAGAGGTGCTTTGGCAATCATCTCAAGCTTCTGTGAGTCATGTGTCCCCCTCAACGGGTTTCCTTGGAGTGCGTCAGCCGGTCGTGTCACAAGTTTGCCGAGAGCTGGAGGAAGCCTCCGTGATGGTCTGGGGTTACATCACAGAGGCGGAGGACGTTTGGACAACTGGTCCTAGTCCCCGCTGAGGCAAGCCTCGGATTGCACAGTGCGTCTGGCACCTCATCTCGGAGCTGCTCGCGAGAAGGGCAGGTGTGGACCACGGGAAGGAGAGAGAGGAGGTCAAATAGGCTGGAAAGACGTACAGATCATGCACTCGTTGCAAATTTGGAACGGGTCAGTAGCGGTTGTCCTTTGTGTTGATGATGAAGAAAGGATGGTTGGATGGATGGGTGGACGGCTGGACCAATGAAGGAGGGAGGAAAGGATGGATGGAAGGAAGGATGGATGGGTGGATGGATGAAGGCTGTTCCATCAGTAAATGTAGAAATTTGGTCTT